CGGCCGCTCGGCCAGCTTCGGCTTTCAGCACGGCTCATATGCGTACGGCTCGGCTGAGCCGCTCGGCCATGATCGGGAGCTGTACGGGCTATTGTGAATAGCCCGTACAGCACCCCTTTGGTTCTACTGAACCGAAGGGGTCCTGGAGCTGAAGCTAGCCGAATGATCGGCCAAAGCTACGGCCAGATCCTTCGGCAGCTTCGTGAATAGACCCCTTAGTCTCTGTAGTAATACCCTGTTTCCCCGAAAATAAGACCTACCCTGAAAATAAGACCTAATACTATTTTTGGGAATTGCTAAAATATAAGACCTACCCCGAAAATAAGACCTAGTTGTGACCATTCCCAGCGCCGGTGGTGGCATAAGGGGGAACTTGAAGAGCCGCGGGAGAGAATCAGCAGTGCCAATGAAGCCAGCGCTAGAGGAAGCGAGGCGGGACCGGAGGGAGCAGAGCCAAATAACTGATGTTTCCTCTATAGCGCCGGCTCCTGTCACAGGCGCAGTGATACTAAATGCACTCCGCCTGTGAGGAATTCATAGTGAAAGCGCGCTTCACTCTTTCTGGCCAGCGATTGGTTACCAAATTGCTCTTGGAAAGGTACGGCACCTGATTGCCCTGATCACCCTATTCTTGACTTCGCCATTTTGGATTATTTAATTTTGGATTGTTGTAAAATGAAAAAAAAAAGTAAGACCTAGTGTGTTTTTTTTGAGCCTCAAAAAATATAAGACAGTGTCTTATTTTCGGGGAAACATGGTATATGTGACTGTACTCTAGTACATTTTAGGTTACTATCTGTTTAAAACTTTGTTGCTGCTGGGCAATTTTACACTGCTGCGTCCTCTGCAGTATCTTAATTCTTGTAGTAAAGCCCCAGCCTGTGCTCTTTGTCACCAGTAGATTAAAACCTAGTCTTGCTTTTTATAAAATTGCCCTGCTGATGGCCAAATTTAAACTGCTTGCCTTGTAGTAAAACACTTGTCTGTAATCTCATTAGTATATTTCAGCCAATTCTCCCTCATTGAAATGTGCTGCAGCAGTTTAGTTTTACACTGCTGGTATATCATTTGTGGTCTCTTAATTCTTGCTGAGAGTTTAATGGATATTTGCTGGTGGCAGGGCAGTTATGCATCAGCGAGAACAAGAACAGCCATAGAAAACTACTGGCCAATATCAATCTGCTCAACAAAGGGGGTCTATTACAATTTGGTGAAAAAAAAGCCTTTTTTTAACAGAAATTAATTAGATTGAAGTGCTGCTGCTATATGTACGCCAAGCTAGTTGTAAAGGGAGAAAAAAAATCCACAGCTAAATATGCACTGCCAGTGTACACTGTCGCTGAGACTGTATGTGAAAAGGATACTGTTCTGTAACACCAGGGTAAGCTTTAAGGCATGTTCTGCTAATGCAAAACTTTTTTTTAAATTGTTATTGAAATGTAACTGTATTTTTCTGACAAGGATAGCAGGTTCCTGATTGGTGGGTTTGTGTTTCTTGGTTTTGATACTACAAGCACATCGTATTGTAAACCAGATTTGAGTGTAATGGGCCTGAATATGAAATCATTTATCAGCCTGTTGGCATAGATCATTTCCAAGCCTGTGTATTGTATTTGACTATATGAAATAATATGCTGTTTAGTTGGCAGAAGTAAACTTTGATGATGTTTAACCCCTTCATGACTGAGCTTGTTTTCAGTTTCTGTTCGTAAATGACTGACACAGTTTTTACTTTTTTTGCTGTGTAATGCTTCCATGGCAGTAATATACTTTCTTACTAAATGTACCCACACATATTATATATTGTTTTTTAGAGGACAGATAGGGCTATATAATTATATCAAACATGTGTACCTAACACCTCACTTAGTTCGAATAAAATAACATGAGGAAAAAACGTAAAGAAAACACTGTTTTCACAAGTTTTTATTATTATTATGATTATTATTATTTTTTAGAATTGTTTTTAATAATTATAGTATAAAAACAAATAAATATATATATATATATATATATATATATTTTTTGC